TAGAAATAACGCGGTTTCGACGCCGCTTTCACGGCTGTGATGAGCGAAATCCTACAAAAATCCTGGGATTTGTAGTTTTTTTGTGGGATATTTCGCTTCCTCTGGGCGCATCTATGACGCTCTATAAATAACATTTCGACACCACTTTCGCTGACAAAATAGTAGCTCCAATCCTACAGAAATCCTGGGATTTGTAGTTTTTTGTGAGGTATTGAGCTTTCTCTGGGTGCATCTACACTTTATAAATAATGCAGTTTCGACAGCACTTCCATTGCCTCCTGGGATTTGTAGTTTTCGAGTGATATTTTGCGTTCTCTGGGCGCATCTACGCTCTATAAATAACATTTCGACACCACTTTCGCTGACAAAAATAGCTCCAATCCTACAAAAATCCTGGGATTTGTAGTTTTTGTGAAGTATTGAGCTTTCTCTGGGTGCGTCTACACTTTATAAATAATGCAGTTTCGACACCACTTTCTTTGCCTCCTGGGATTTGTAGTTTTTGAGTGATATTTCGCTTTCTCTGGGTGCTCTATAAATAACATTTTGACACCACTTTCGCTGACAAAAATAGCTCCAATCTTACAGAAATCCTGGGATTTGTAGTTTTTTGTGAAGTATTGAGCTTTCTCTGGGTGCATCTACACTATATAAATAATGCAGTTTTGACACCACTTCCATTGCCTCCAGGGATTTGTAGTTTTTGTGGGATATTTCGCTTTCTCTGGGCACATCTGCGCTCTATAAATAACATTTTGACACTACTTTCACTGACAAAATAGTAGCTCCGATCCTACAGAAATCCTGGGATTTGTAGTTTTCGAGTGATATTTTGCTTTCTCTGGGCACATCTATATTGTGGAAATAATGCAGTTTCGACACCGCTTTCACTGACAAAATAGCTCCAGTCCTACAGAAATCCTGGGATTTGTAGTTTTTGTGGACTTCAGCTCCCAGAATCCCAGACCAATGGCCGAGATAACTGAGGATGCTGGGAGCTGAAGTCCAAAATACCTGACAAAACTAGAGTTTTGTGGCATCGCTGAATCTAAAATAATGCTCAGTCGGGAATCGGGACGCGGTCCTCCATTTTGAGGTTTCTAAAATGGCTTCTTGCGCCAGCGACTTAACGCACGCACGCACGCACGCCGTGAGTCTTTGGCGTTCTCTTCTCAGGGAAGAAGATCCGATGGTGCACATTTTCGGACGCGGAGCAGAGGAAGTGTTCCGAATTGTCCAGAGCCCTGATGACCGTCTCGTCCCCGCCGGCCAACGCCGCCTTCGGCCGGGTCTCCTGCATCCGAACTCGCAACACTCACGACTGCGTCGACAAGATTAGGGTGAGTACCCCCAGAGGTATGTGTATATACTCCATTTAGCCCCCTGCTCTGAGGCGGATGGGCTATAGAGTCCTTATCGGTGTTGTGGACCAACGTTGGACTAGGATTCTTCTGGGAGACCAGGGTTCGAATCTCCATCTTCTCACTCTCTCAGCTTCTAGGTAATAAATCTTGCCAAGAAAACCCTAGGAGAGAAAGCATGGTATGGAGTTTTGTGTTTGGGACCCGGATTCGGACTCTGGGAGGCCAGGGTTCAAATCCCAGTTCTGCCATAGAAACCCACTTTGGGCACGTCACACTCTCTCAGCCTCAGAGGAAGGCAAAGGCAAACCTCCTGTGAAGAAACCTGCCTAGAAAGCCCCATGATAGGTCCACCATAAGTCAGACACAACTTCTTTTGAGGCTGAGAGAGAGAGCAAATTACCCAGTGAGTTTCCTACGGCTGGACCAGTGTTCGAATCCTGGTCCGACGCTCAAACCCTGCCTCTCCCAGTATTTTCTTGGCAATATTTATCCAGATCTTGCCTCGTCACAGACTTCCTCTGAGGCTGAGAGAGTGTGACTTGACCAAGCCCACCCAGCTAGGCCTTTGAGGAAGCAAACCCACCTCTCCTCTGTGGATAAGTGTCTCAGCAGTTCACAACAACTGTGGCCCAGTTCGCCACCTATTTAATTATAATCTCAGGGTGGAACCGAGAGCGGAATATGCGTATATATTTTTTCAAAAATGCCCCGCGTTAAATGAAAGGCGGAAGTGTTGTTCTCCCGAGGGGATGATGGGAATGACAGAAACGGGGCGTTTTCGAACTCGGTACCTCCAAGATTACAACCTATCTATTACTACACACTAATTAACTCAGGCGGTGATATGTATTTCTCCATGATTAGAAGCCAGGCTGCTGAGTCAGGAGTTCGAAACGCTGTGTGAGGTTTCGAACTCCTCACTGGACCAGAAGAACTTGTACTGAGGAAATCCCGAAACTCATCCATCTGCCTTTCTTTCTCTCACTTTTTCTTTCTTTCTTTCTTTTCTTCGTTAGGCAAATAAGGCCGATGTCGCCTCCTTGGATGCTGGAGACGTTTATTCCGGGGTCAAACTTCATGGCTTGACCGTTGTGGCGAAGGAGATTTATGCAGAAGGTCAGTTTCATCATGTTTAAAAGTAGTAATTCCCAAAGTGTTGTCCTGGACTCCAACTCCCAGAAGCCCCAGCAGCCAGGAATTCTGGGAGCTGAGGTCCAAAACCATCTGCGGGACCAACGTTTGGGAATCACTGGACTGTAAAGAAACCTAGAAGTGCTCCAGAAATGTACAGAAAGGGGCAACTACTTAAAGCCGTTCAGGCGTTGTTGGGACTGCATCTCCCATGATCCCTCACCATGCTGCTGGGAGTTGCAGTCCACCAATCTCAAGCACAAATAACAA